CCCGGCCTGATAAATGGATATAGAAAGTGGATAGGGGACGGTTTAGGCGTCCCTTCTGATTTTAAGTTCCTCAGATATCTAAACTTTTCATGACCTTTCTTGGACTGTTTTGTGGGATCTCTCAACAAGACAATGATACTGCCCTGATTTAATGAATCTAGGAAGCAGGGTCACTTAATTCTCCCGACGTTATTCCCAGGCTGGAAAACCCCTGTTTTTAGCAGCGGCATGAGCTTTCACAGCGACGTTACCTATAATTTTGTGGCAGTTGTGACAACATTTGTCCAACTTTAGGCTCTGTACTGTCAGTGTTACCTTCCTCTGGCTCCTCCGTTGTGCTGACAGTCCTGAAACCACACACCTGTGTTTCTGTTCCGTAAGTTAACACAGTTATCTCTATATGTAACTGGAGCCCTCAACCTACATGGCCACTTGGCATACATCTGTGTGGTTGCGTGTGTCTGTGTGTGATCCTGCAGCTGCAGGATCCGGACTTGCCAGTATTTTCATTCCCTCTGGAGGCGTTTCCGCACGCTAACAAAGCCCGTCCTGCACGATGAAATGGAGAGGAAGCAGCTTTTGTGAAGGGAGCAGCCGATTTTGGTGTGTGCACGACTGACCCTGCTATCAGTTTGTTCCATGCAAATTTACTTTGGAGCTTGCAATTCAGGTTGCTCCAGGCTCTTGTGTGCTGATGAGCCTACTGTAGCACAAGAACAAGCCTACTCTCTTAATACCTTTCACAAAGCAAATTTGTCTCCTATTTGGCTCTAATTAACTGGCATAATACCTAGCTTGTTGGAATGGTTAGTGTTTTAACAAGGCTTGTTAATCACTGGCCTTACACAAACTTCACTTCCTCTGTAGCCGTTGCCAAAATGTGAACTGTAGCTCAGGTCACAATCCTCCAGGGTGTCTGGCTCTGGGAAGGGACTGAACCAAGCCAGTAATAGTAGAAAATTGTCTTTTTTAACAGAACTAACATAAAACATGCACTCCTTGCCCTCATGTCTGCAATAAATAAATCACACTGATTTAAATCAAAGACATTCATATTCAACTTTGCTGTTTTTTGGGTTCAAGTATAAATTTTATTCTTTGCTGCTGGATACCCTTTGTTTTGCTGGTGGTTTTCCAGAAATAACTCCTGGGTTTTGGCAAGAGCTGAGGTCGAAGCTCACGCAAAAAAATCATTATTGCTGTCTCACTTGTGGTCATGACACAGCTGCTGAAAATGGCAAGTGTTCTTTCTTTTTATTTTTTTAATGGGAGCGAAAGTAGAGCAACATTAGTATCGTTGAAGATTTTCTCTGGGGTTGTCTACAGAGTCAGCATCCTGTGTGTTGACATCCAGACCTGAAATGCACGTTCATGCTCATAAACAGGGTTTTGTCCCTCTGGAGAAAATAACCCTGATAATTACTGGGTGCCTATGGACCTTACCACAGCCGGAGGGGGAGGAGGAGACCGGGGGTTGACTGAGTCTAAGAGGGAGAGACAGGGAGAGAGAGCCACATCCGCTGGTGCATTCCTCCGTGCTGTGTCATACCGGTGCCGAGTTTCCCCTCGGTTTGCACAGAGATTTCCGCGAGGTGGAGGGTGCAAAGGGCCACTGACGCAATGCTCGAGGCTGTAGACATTGACATTTAAAGTCTAACAAGGCAACGCGGCCACATGACTCCACACAGCGGCAGAAAGACAACAAAACTGCTTAAAGAATAAACATAAGAGGATTGCTAGGCAATGGCAAAACAATGAAGATGTACGAAGACACAGTACATGGAATGAAGAAAGGACACAGCTTGGTGGTCTGTGGATGTGCCCATTGATTTCACCTCTTCTTCTCCCGCTCTTTTTGCCCTCACCACGTGGTCTCTCTGGTCTGGCTGTATTGGCACCATTACAGCAGCCGGAGCTGAATGTCTGTGGTTGGCTCACCGCCCGTCTGCTTGCCTGTCATTCAGCTGGTTAAAGAGGCCTTGTTGAACCGCTGCACTGTGCCCGGCTACTACGGGGCCATTCATGCCGGTAACAGCAGAAACAGCCAAGTCCTGTCATCAGGGCCAGCTAGCACATAGCAATTTATGACTGGAAATGACAAGGGCATGTGGCTTGGTAGGCACAGCTTCCCCAGAGCAAACGCGTAATCCATTTTGTCAATGTTTGCATTACATTTTAGAGAATGAGAAGCTTCTCTGTAACAGAGCGAGCTTCTTTAGACAAACACATATGTTTTTTTTTTCTTCTCTGTTGCATGTATGCCATCTACATCGAGCATAAAGTGAAATAGGCTCATCTGTTCCCTAAGAAATTATACAACAGCACAAAACAACAAAACAGATTCTTTGTGCTGCCTCAAACACTGGTAATTTAAAAAAGAACACAGTTTGTCACTCCCAGCGTTTTTTTTTTGTTTGTTTTTTTTTATTTTTTTATTTCCTCCTGCTTGTCGGTTGCTCTGTGTGCCTTTGGTTAATGGCGGCTCATCCTGTCACAGATGACCTGCTCCTTAGTGAACCGTTCTCCGTCCTCTTCTTGGTCCCAGTGTGACACACACAGTGAGGACATGCGTGAGGGATGTGACTTCATCCTGCGCTCTCCCTCCTTTCTCTAACTCCTCTTTGCCTCCTCTCCTCATCCTTGACTCCTCCACTTTCTCTTCCTCTCTCATCCTCCCTTCTCTCTTTTGTCCTTTTATGTCTTCCTCCCCTGCCCCTCGCTGTGTCTACACTCCTAACATCTTCCTGGTATGATTAGCAATAGTGTTTTTTCCCCAGCCAGTGTAACGTCTAGAGCCTCCTGTGTCCTTGGAAAAAAGCCTAATAAGCTCAGACACACACGGCTGTCTGTGCTCCACAGACCTATTCTCCAGTGTCATCCAGCACACACTGAGGTAAACAAAGACTACCACACACATGTGTACGTACACACACACACACACACACACACACACACACACTATTATAGTGTGCTAATAGACCACCATACCAACCCACTGAGGACAGCACTGACGTGAACTCGCTGGCGTTGACCTTCCATGTGCCAATCACAACAAATCCGCTCCCTGATTTGAATATGGGGAGGAAAACACTGTAAATTGAAAGCAGAAATCCCCCTGGTGTGAGACAAGATGAGCCTCCGAATAAATTATTCAGATGGCAGCCTCTTTCCTGCATGATTCTCGCCTTCTGCTATGTTTAATGGCATCTGTGATGACGCCCATCAGAGATTAATCCAGATGTAAGATGTTCGCTCGTGTGTGTTTTGTGCATGCGTGCTTACATTTGTACGTGTGTTTTTGTCTCTGTGTGTGTGTGGCCCGCTCACCCCTCTTCTCATGCATCCCGTCGTGTCGTGTGATGGGGAAACAAAGCCTCAACAGGGGAATTTATTTCTCCTCTGGAGAGGGCTGTAAATAAACAACTAGTGAATCAATGCCTCCATTTGTTTTTTCTCTGATAATTCTGCCTGTGTCGTGAGGCGGCGTGACAGTATTTTGTAAGTCGTCATAGCTCTCGGCAGCCATATTTCCTCTTGGTGGAAGTGAGAAAACATGCTGCATTGGCCTCATGTTTCATTACCGGGGATCAGTAAATTACTGCATGCTTTTTATATCACTCACTGCAGTTCATTTAGCACCATGATGGAGCCTTTGAATGAGTGGGAAGTAACACCAGCATTAGATAGTGTGCTTGAGATCTGCTCAGTCAACTAAATACTGTACACACAAGCATAGAAATTAGCAGGTGATTCACAGAAAAAGGGCGAACACAAGCACACACAATGGTTTGAATATAAGCTATTGTACTGGGAATACACTGATTGCCATATTTTTCTCAAGCATGTTGGCATAAGTTTTTTTTTTTTTTAAACATAGATGCTCAATTCTTAAAGGTTCAGTTAATCAATATTACTGCTGAATCGACACTTTAAACTGGTGAAATAAACTATTATTTTCCCTAATTGCAGTTCTGTGGTCTTCATTAACAATAATAAGCAGAGCACAGGTCCCAGAAAATATGAGGGTGGTTACTTGTATTAGCTACGGTTTGATGACTAATAGGAACAGTGAGTAATGGTGTGAATGCAGCGCAGAGTGATCCTGGTTCTTCAGGAATAAAGGTAACCTCCCGCTGTGTAAACCTTGATTAGGTGCACTCGTTCAGCTACAGTAACATTGCTCCTGGTAACGCCGAGATGACTATGTAAGAGCCTCTAATGAGCGCTGGTTTACCGTGGTTTCTTTGTGCTCAAGTACCCTTCTCTGTGTCCCATATCCAAGTGTGAAATTACAATATCAGATCATACTTAGTTAATTAAACCCATATGACTAATTTAATTTGACTCAGATATGGGGGAAAATGAATAAATCATGGAGGCGTATTTAGCTTGCTAGCACTGGTGTTAACAGTAATTAAATGTGGGGCAATCTGTAGCCTGTTAAGATAGCTCAAGTCTTTTCTTGCAGCCTACTGTACAAGAACACGTGGAAAAAATAAAAAAAAGTAAGCCAGATGGTTTAGGGAAGCAGTCTAGCAGAATTTTAATGACATGATGTGGGAGTTTCAAACACAGTGAAAGATGCAGTGCTGTAAAGTAGGCTAGTGCATTAAATGTCACCGAGTGGTCATCCCATTAGGAGATCTGCACAGAAGAGGCAGAAGCAGTGAAAAAATAGTTTCCCGTGATTAGATCCTAGAGAGTTCAAAGACAGCTGCTTCTGAAACTAGATGGGCACAAAATACTCCCAATGAAAATGTGAAATCAACTTGTATTTGTCACTTGAGCATTTTAATGTCTCATATTTGGCAGGGATTAGAGATGCACGCTCTCTCCAGCTCTGTCAGTATGTGCTTCCAATTTGTCAGAAGCATGACAGGGTGCTTCATTACATCTCGATAAATGACGCCACCTAAGTCTTATTTCCCTATCACTAAAAAGCAGATTGTGTTTTGTCACACTCCCTGATGTACATTGCATTCTGTTTTGTTTCATTTTAGACTTGCTCTGTGATTGATGAGGATTAAGAAACGGATTTTGCCTCATAGGAAACACAGGAACGTCCTCATCTGCGCTGGTAAGGATCCTGATTTATCACCTACGTCTTCATATGAACAGTTAAGCAGCAGCTCCTACGGTGACACAGATGTGCTTCAGCATGGTTTTGCAAACAAAATGGTTGTATTTTGGATGTGTGTGTGTGTGTCGTACCAGGCCTAAAACACAAAGGAGATTTGTCCTAGAACAGAATGCACTGGTGATCTATCCATCCATTTTCCTCCTCTTATCCGGGACCGGGTCGCGGGGGCAGCAGTCTAAGCAAAGATGCCCAGACTTCCCTCTCTCCAGACACTTCCTCCAGCTCCTCCGGGGGAATGCAGAGGCGTTCCCAGGCCAG